GCGGCGTTTGATTGGCGCGGAGAAGAGCAAAAAAAAAAAACTAATCCCAGATTAGAATGTTGCACCTACGTCCCGAACTCATCGCTTCAGTTCATGGGATACCTTGGAGCGTTATGGCACACTACACTCAGAAACTAGGGCTAATAAAGATGCGCGCACAGAGCATCAGTAATTACCAGAATATAAAAAAATTACCACAACAGGATCTTAGCTCGAACAGAACTTTGGTGAGTACACCGCTTGATGGTATATTACGTATGTTCTTCAAGTGGCATGCGTGCGTGTTCGTATGACAACCGCTTAAATGCCCATAAATGTTACAGAACGGTTTGATTATCTTTTATGAGGAATCATATTGTGTTTTGTATGCATTTTCAATGCACTGCCTGTCTTATAATCAGCCGAATCTACGAAACTTTTTGCTCGTATGATTCATTTGTCATTGACTGACTGTCTTCTGTAGTGTAGCGTGACGATATTCGCTGACGGCTTCTGTTCTTACAAGCAGTTCTGCATATATGATTAAATTTCGTATAAGTATACAGGCTACAAGTAAAACGAACTTGTGCTGAAAATGGAATGATTATGAAAGGTCATGAGTGATCGGCTGTCGTTTTGCAGACATAAAGCTCACTGGTTCACCTCATACCAAACGGAATCACTGAGAAAAAAAAAGTCTGGAAAGAGCAGAGCAAGACGAATGAGCAACCGCTTTGAAACCATGAATCCGTTTTTTCTTCAAATCAAATTGTCTCTAACATGGCTGTATGGTAGCCCTGCCGCGGTGGTCTATTATAGTGACTAAGGTACTCGGCTGCTGACCCTCAGGTCGCGGGATCAAATCCCGGCTGCGGTGGCTGCATTTTCGATGGAGGCGAAAATGCTGTAGGCCCGTCTGCTCTAATTTTGGTGCACGTTAGAGAACCCCAGTTGTTCGAAATTTCCGGAGGCCTCCACTACGGCGTCTCTCAAAATCATGTGGTTTGAGGACGTTAGACCTCACATATCAATCAATAGCTGTATGGTAAAACGAACGAAAACATTGTGCCTTCTAGCAACTTCTTTTCCTTTCTTGTTGGGGAGGGGGGTCAATAATAGGTGTTCTACAGCGCACGAATTCAACTAACTGAACTTCGTTATAGGAGGAGAAGGAGGAGACATTATTTGGCACATTTGGCATAGTGAGGAACGTCTACCAGGCAATGACTTGCAGTGGCTCTTTCGATAAAGGTTCAACTCTGTTATAATAACAATAGGTATCCAGTTATAGTTAATGAAAGTGCATTAAAGACAGGTTACAGGTTCCCGGTACACGAGATTGAACACAGACGAGCTCCAGCGGCCAGGGAGAATCGCATTCCCCACGCAATTATTTGGTTACATCGCGTTATTAAAATTCCCCTCATCGAAGTTCTACTGCTGTGGTACTGATAACCTAAATCGTGTGCCTATCATGAATGCGACGTGCAAACTGGACCGCAAAGTATTCATAGTATCAAAGCCATAGATAGTTCAAATGCTATTCCTGGAATGTACGGTCCGTTGTGCAGAGGTGAAACTTCCATCGACCGAACGGCTGCCTTGAAAAGTATTGTCAAGACTGGTGGCACAGCTTACCGCCTGTCGCTGCAGAAACAGCTGTCATTTTTGTTCGCGAATGACGCAGGGAAACAGCTTTCAGTATGCGTACACGTATGCACGTCTGTGTGTATGTGTGTGAGTATTTTTGCGTATGCGCGGGCTTTCGTCCTTTAAAGTACAGCGTTTGTAAGTCCGCCGCGACAATCTCCTTTCACGGATCGTACGAAGATTCCCGAATCGAATGGTAGCGAAAAGGGTGCTTGCATGCGAACGTTCCTTTCATTTTAGCACTTTTCCCCCCCTTTCTAACCGTCATGAATGAGGCGCAGCAAATGAGACCAGACGGTCAGGGTGCCGCTTTCTCCCGCTGAGGAGGGTATCACTTCGCGCGGAATCATCATCCGCGCCGTAATAAACGGTGCGCGCGATACGCCTGGGACATTGTCGTTTTCCCTCCATATATGCACAGCGCCGCTCATTACGAATAGACGGCACATTGAACGCCGTTCGTTATCTCGCGTGCCCGCACAACGGTCGCAGCGGCAGCAACAGCAGCAGTGTCGGACATTCGGGGCCGCCCTGTGCATCGACCCCTTATCGAGCAGACGTGGCTCGCCGTCCTCAACCATTCACATTAGACCCGCAGATGTCTGAGCGACATCGGCCGTTTCAGCGTGCGGCCAGGAATGCGTCGCCACCTCGACCACCGCGCTTCTATAGCTGTCTCTATTTAGCTGAGTGTACGGGCTGTCCCCGCAGAGGCTTCATGCTCGCTTATTTCTGATCTTCCGAATCTGTTACCAATTTATTCGGAGCTACAGAACGTTACTCTTTCCTGGTTAACAGCGATTATAATTGTTATAGGTTTTGTTTTTCTCACGTCACAAGCTGAAAAAACATTGAATTCTGCCGTATCTTTAAACGAGTGAGCAAGGTTTTTTTAGATCGATAGGCGCCTTGCGTTCTGGCGTTTTTGGCACATTTTTTTTTTGCTACTAAGAGGAATCAGATGGTAATTACAATCGCGCTTCTACCTGCTTCTCTGTGTCACCATGTCCCGATTGCCCACGCAAAAAAAAAGAAAAACTCAGTAAAGATGGAAAATTTATCTTCATGGGCCTTACGGGCCTCGATAACCCTATTCAAGATCCTACATACAGAATTCTCTGGACACCCCACAGAAATAATGGAAAAGCGGGAGCTTTGCATGCGAAGAAGCGGCACACTTCTTAATTTGGATAGCTCCTACTTGTAGCGGTCTTAGTGAGAATAAATAATGGAACCCCCACAGTTCTCGTGGAGTATTCTCTTTGTGGTGAATGAACAATATATATATATATATATATATATATATATATATATATATATATATATATATATATATATATATATATATATATATATATATATATACGATACCTCAGCCGAAAGCATTGCAATGGTATAAATTATTCAAATGCGTGAGAGGTAGGAATTAAAAAAACGTTTTCTTTGGGAAGCCGAGAGCTAGACGCGGTGCTTTCTTTGGTTCCATCAAAGAAGCGTGCACTCTATAATGACCCCTTTTCCTCACATTTTCTATGCCTCATTTCCCTCGTGGCACATTATTCCCGACCCACCAAAGAAAACGCTTGTGCTTGGCATCGCGGAGTCGGACTTTTGGTAGAAAAGGATCTCGACAGAATTGTTTGCTTCTATCGTTTACCGCACTGTTGTTTCACGTGCTTGATTGAAAGGGTACATCTGAAAGAACCATGTTCAGCCGCTTAAATTCTAGGCAGTGTTATTGTACATCTTCGTGATACTGGAGCACAGAGATATCGTCTTTAATGAGAAACCAGTGATCTTAGCTTGGGAGACAGACTTAAATGCTAGTCATTCGGTGGAAGTTTTGATAGACTCAGCAATAGGAAAGCACACATACAAGACATCTGCACATACACCTATGGTGACCTATACAAAACTGGTAGCCCAGCGAGTCTATCAAAAAAATGGGCGTTAACAACAAGCCACATGCAATGTGCACTATCTCATTCCCGTCTCTATGTATGTCTTCATGCTGAATCACAGGGCTGAATCACAAGTAATTACGTGGTATTGCAATGTACAAAATTCTACATAAAAAATAAACTGCTTCTGTGCTGTAAGTAAAGGTAAAAGCTATATAGAGTAACCTAAATATCGTTATATAAGTATAAATGTAGTGAGTACGTCAGAAAAAAGTCTAATTTTTTCGATCTCAGGTGATGGCGCTGAGTTTGAAGGATTTCGTGATCGCAACGTTATGTCAAAGGAAATTGGCCGTACATGCCAAGCGTTTAAAAAATATGTTTCCACAATTATCAAAAATCAGGGAACTGCAACATTTGCTCGATGCCCCCATAGTTAGTTCTTCTGAATACATCTTAAGATGGATATTTAATTTGGGACTGTGAATAAGAAAGTTAAATGAATCAACTTTTCAATTAGTGCAGTTAAAATGTCAAGAAGGAGGATTGAAACGCTTCATGCGAAAAATGAGATTAGAAAATTCGAGATTTGAAAAAAAAACAGCCTCTAGTAATAATCACGAAGTAATGAAATTCAACCAAGTGCAGCGACGAAAGTGAAAACTAAATGCGGAAAAGCGCAACTGCCATATTATTTTGAGACGTTCAGTATGAGTGAGAGTCGTTATATTGACCGTCAACTGACTTTGTTGTGTGCGTGCGTGGCCGCACTTGCAATTATAGCAAGTATGGCTCACGTGCATTAACGAACGCGGAAGAGCTGCACCTCTGAAATAACTTCCTTGAACAGCGAGGTCATTCTCATCGTCTATACTTCTTGAACTCATCAGTTCTTCGGTATCGGTTTCACCATTTACCTTGGTTGTATTTCATTATGCCATAAAATTACTGGAGACCACTCTTTCAATACCTCAAAGCTGCGATCGTTTCCTCGCATCAGGAACTATAAATCAACCATTCGACATAATGACCACCTAGTCGGTGCATAACAGCTGCAGGCATGACCTTGGGACGGAACTTGGTCACCATGTGCCGGCGCTCTCATCCTGTGCTTAAGTGAGTTCTCAAGAGCTAAGCTGTGTAAGAACTCACAACATTGGCGACCTTTTAGTTAACGCAGTAGTTTAGTTATTATTGTTCCAGTTTCTAGAAATAGCCTTCATTTTTTTTTCGTGTTCACTGTTAAAAGCTTTCCGACTAGGCTGTCGAAGTTTTTTTTTTACTTTATTTTCAACGGCCAGTCCACCGTTAATTATTGATTCTTGTAAAAATAAATGTTCTCGTTCATACAAAGCAGTTTAGAAAGAATCACTCGTATTACATGGTCTACAAACATTTTTTTCTCTTGGATAGCCCCGCCCACAGTCTTACCATGTATTAGTTTCATGCGAAAAGGAACAAAAGACTCACCTGCAATCATACTGCTTGTTATTGTCAGGAGTGTGACTGCCAACGCTGTAAAATGAGGAAAAGAAAACAAATTAAATTAGCTGTGCACGTCAAAGAGAGCAAATGAAGAGAGAAGGTGGCATAAAAATAGTCACAATAATTAGGAATACTCGCGAAAGAAACGATCCTGATAAGTTTTCGCTCACGAATGCATAATTTATTCAAAACTCATAAATAATATTACAACTACGTTGGTGGACCACAAGAAGTGTGCGCAAAGCCAGCCTTTTAAGGTCTACCCAAACGTTTTCTACGCCATCATGAGACCTGAAACTAGTTCTTTTTATACTTCGTTCCCAGTTTTGTTGAAAAAAACAGCAGTTGCCATAATTGTAGTCTGAAATGTCAGTGACCAGAGGGGTTTACAAGCGCGCTCTCGTGCTTGCCCTCGCAGTCAACGCTCTTTTCTATTCTTGTTTTTTTTTCGCTTCCATAGTTACACTGTAACAACTTTTAAGTTACGCTGTTCGTAGGTTCAGTCATTTGACACTCGTGAAACAGCGGGGACCAGCTATCTGTTGCGGAAGATGTTAGCATGATGAAGACGTAACCATATCATGTAAACTGGGTGAAAAACGGGAAAGTAGCACCAATATATATATATATATATATATATATATATATATATATATATATATATATATATATATATATATTAGCAAAATAAGAATGAATGTTGCGCGTAATCGTGAAGGATCAATCAGAAGAATCTCAAAAAAAAAACAGAGCCCTGCAACAATATTAGTACGGGTGGATGACATATAGCTGTTGCGAGAGTTTCACTTGTTTATGTTGTGTTGCAACAAGATGTCATGCAGAGGCAGTGAAGTTTCTCCTTGTTGTGACAGATGTTCCTGCCGCGACATCGGAACGTTCCGACGTAACGGGAAGAGCACGTCTCGAAATGTTACATACTTTCCGACGCCGTGACATTAAGTTTCTCTCGTATTTCGCTCGTAGACACACGTACGCATGGACACGAGCACAGACAGAGGTACGTACGCGCACGCGAGAATTTTTATGCACAAACACAAACACGCCTGCGCGAACTTCACTGCAAGAATGAAACAGGTGCAAACTGCATGGCGAAGGTCGGCGGTCTTACCCCCGTATTCACAAACGCTCCTCGACTTTCAACCTTCACTTGACAGAGTTGCGCACTGCGCCGCTGCTCGGCTGAAAATAACATTGCGCTATTCAAGAATAGCAGTAAATTATCATTAATATGCAGTGACTTTCCCTGCCTAGAGAGGCGCTCCCATCGGCTTTCTCAAGTGAAGGTGGAGTGTTGAGTGAAGGGACGTTCTAGAATACGGGGGTTAGCAAATCGTGCCTCCTTTAAGCGCGTCCTCGTAAGGCTAAATTTTGATGTTCCCCGCCTATATAACAGTGTGGCACGTATCTCAGAAAGGCGTCCCCGTGCACGTGTGCATCTGCGCTCTTTTTTGCACGGGTGTCTTTGTGGAGGGAATTTTCTTTGGGGAAATTCGAAAAGGGGCGTGGAATCGGCGGCATTTTCAGAACACGACTTCTTTTCCACTAGACAAAGTGTGGGAAACACGGCACACACGGGACTTCGTTCTCACACGGTTCTTATTTCTTATGCCGAAAAAAGCCGCTGAGCCGGTTCGTGCCGCTCACGGAAAACGCCGCCATCAATATATATATATATATATATATATATATATATATATATATATATATATTTATATATATATATATATATATATATATATATATATATATATATATATATATATAAAATAAGGGAAAGAAGTGTATACCTAAGGGCTCGTTTTTCCGTGTTTTTAACACAATAATAATGAGATATAACAGACAGTAATGCCAAGGAATGTACAGGGGAAGTTATTAACATTAATGGAATGTAATAAGAAGAAAGAAAAGTGGATGAAAAAATTACCAACTGTAAGCAGGAATCGAACCTACGACCTTCGAATTACGCGTTCGATGCTCTAACCACTGAGCTATTACAGCGGCACTCCCTCCATCCACTTTTTTGGGTTTATCTGTGAATTTAGAAGTAGGAGCGACAGTCAGCGCCATCTATAAGCCAAACAACGGGTGTGAAAACACTCTTATGCGCATGTTTGGCGTCACGTAGCACGTGAACTTATTATGAGCGGGCAGCTGATTAATTGTCCCTCTTATACAACCTAAACACACCAAGTCTGCCAGTACGAGACCCTCGTTCAATGAAATAAGGGAAAGAAGTGTATACCTAAGGGCTCGTTTTTCCGTGTTTTTAACACAATAATAATGAGATATAACAGACAGTAATGCCAAGGAATGTACAGGGGAAGTTATTAACATTAATGGAATGTAAATAAGAAGAAAGAAAAGTGGATGAAAAAATTACCAACTGTAAGCAGGAATCGAACCTACGACCTTCGAATTACGCGTTCGATGCTCTAACCACTGAGCTATTACAGCGGCACTCCCTCCATCCACTTTTTGGGTTTATCTGTGAATTTAGAAGTAGGAGCGACAGTCAGCGCCATCTATAAGCCAAACAACGAGTGTGAAAACACTCTTATGCGCATGTTTGGCGTCACGTAGCACGTGAACTTATTATGAGCGGGCAGCTGATTAATTGTCCCTCTTATACAACCTAAACACACCAAGTCTGCCAGTACGAGACCCTCGTTCAATGAAATAAGGGAAAGAAGTGTATACCTAAGGGCTCGTTTTTCCGTGTTTTTAACACAATAATAATGAGATATAACAGACAGTAATTAACCTTCACACACATATATATATATATATATATATATATATATATATATATATATATATATATATATATATATATATATATATATATATATATATATATATATATATATATATATATATATATATATATATATATATATATATATATATATATATATATATATATAAAGCCGGAGAGAAAGCAGCCGTCGAAGACGCTCGCGTGTCGCGTGAAGCTCGTCGCTGCGTAAAGGCCGCTTTCGCAAAGCGGCGCCGCGTAAAGTCAAGGCGATGAACCGCGTGCGGCAGCGGCGGACGCATCGCCTGAGCAGCCAGCGACGCCCTCGGGCGTGGAGGACGCGCGGATGCTGCAGCCAGTGGGGCACGATCTCCTCGGCACGAGAAAAGACGCGCGCCGGACGTCCGCGAATAGAACGCGCGCGGCAGCGCGCTGACCGGAAAGCAGCAAAAGCAACAAAGCCGCAAGCCGCGGGTTTCTTTCGCGTGGGCACCGTGTCGTCGTAATTTAACCAAGCCCTCCAGCGAGCAAGCGCGAAATGACGGCCTCGCGCTGCACCTGCTCGCCACCGGAGGTGCCCCCCCTCAAACGCGCCCCTTTGTCTCAGCTCTTCGTGCCTCGTCACCGAGGGGTGCGCGGCCTAGGGAAGAGACAGCCGCTTCGGCAGCCTCGCCCAGCCCGAAAGGGAAACAACGATACCCTGCTTCATTGGCCATTACCGCGTGTCATTACGCGTTGGTGAAGTGTAGTTTCGCGACACCACTCTTTATTTATTTCTTGCTTCATATTAATAACCCCGTAATATGAACAGGGCCCTCATTCCTCTCGCTTGAGAGTGACTTTTGACAAAATGAGAGGGACATTTGCCTATTAAGTGGCGATCAAAGCAGTTTCAACGCTACATTTAACTGCTACCCTCCCCCCTTCCCACTCGAACTTTTCTATTTCTTTTTCACTGCTGGAGCATGCATGTGCTCAAATTCTGTATATATACTCATCAGAGCAAACGCGAATCACCGCATCACAATTACACACACACACACACACACACACACACACACACACACACACACACACACACACACACATATATATATATATATATATATATATATATATATATATATATATATATATATATATATATATATATATATATATATATATATATATATATATATATATATATATATATATATAGCCCCCATACTAAACTGCATGGTTTGCTTTATTATTATGTTCTTTTTTTCTGAGTTCATTTAGATTTAGTCCATTATTTTTGCTGGCTCAGCTACATGTGTGAAGGTTAATTTTGTTATTGACCACGGGCTACCACCTAGTGCTGACGGAATGTTCGTGCTGCCTTCTTTTGCCGAACGAGACAAAGGGAGTGCTTGGGTGAAACCATGATTGAATTTTGATTGAAAAACAATAGCGCAGCACCCGTTCAGCTGCCGCTGTCCTACAGCTTTCATCTTTTCTGTGAACACATTAAAGATACATCATTAGTTCGTTGGACCAAATGTGCGTAATGATGCGTTACGTTCACTCTCTGCGTTGTCTAGGAGCAAAGAAAAAGAAGTAGTAACGATAATAACGCTTGCTCATCGAGTTTAGAGTGTAAGCAAAAGAATACAGGTGGTCAAAGTTTTTTTTTTTATTGACGAGATGTAAGGAGATGATGGCCCAGAAATTATGAGCCAGATACCCCTCATCATTTAGACGTATCTCACATAAAGCACGCAGGGATTAAGTCTCTAAACGTAAGAAGTCCACAGCACATACAGCATAGAATTATAACAACACAATTTACAATATATAAAATTGAGGACATAAGCTTTCAAAACAACGTATTCAACAATCTCATATATGTGCATATACAGTGATGTTAACGAACTGAAGAGTAACCAACGCATTCAGTCAACAGTCACATAATTGTCAAAAAAATGGTCTACAGTCACATGAATATGGTTGTCACGTTAAGAAGAAATTCACTAACGTTGGTCAAGAATGGTATATACTGTGTTAAAAAAGAACTTTCATTGCTTTTACTGCGCTATATTATAAACCTCTTGTTAACCACAGGCCTAAGAGTTTCCTTTCACTGAATGATAGTCGATCTAACGCCATTAAGCATGATCTAAGTCGGTGTCTTCATGTTTCGTATTGTAGGCATTCTAGAAAGAGGTGACACGTCTTCATCTACAAAAGCACAATCATATTCATACGTTTCAGCACACTCAATTTTG